TTTTTTTTTGAATCCAACGTTCTAAAAGTTTGCAAGATTTACTGCTTGGAGACCTTAATCTGCACCACATGTAGTAAGCTGCCTTTGTTTATATATGGCTGTGTGGGTATATGAATAACACCAGCAGTTACAAAGCTATATGTGTTTGTAGCTTATACATGGAGCAAGCACTTCATTTAGGCCAAGAAAGTTAAAGTAAGAGTGACCATATGTTTTCCACTCTCTAAGAGTTTAGGTATTGTTACGTTTCTTTAACTATTTACATACCAAACCAGTGAAGAACGAGCAGAATTACCAGCTGAGGGTCACTTCCAGGACTCTAATGTAAAACCAGAGAAGGGGCGATGACGGCAAAGTTTAGTACTAGTCAATGATTTCCTTGAGAGATCGACTCTGAGGCTCCAGCGTGCGAAATGAGGCCTTCTCACTGAACCCGCTGCATTGGAAAATGTATATAAAGTAAATGTCACGGGCAATGGGAGGTGCTGACAGGTAGAGAGAAAGGACTAAACAAACACCAGTGTTACTAAGTGAAAGACAGTGGTGGAGGCGCAGCATGAGAGTGGGTCAGCGATGTCTGCGAGAGGCAAGTGTGCGAATGGAAAGCAAAGCTGAGCAAACACTAGCAAGGATCCCACCTCACGTAGGATAATAATGAGTTTTATATGTTGGAGTTATATTCCACGTGTAACTGGTGTTGCTGTGCCAACACCTCAAACAAAAACACCTACAGAAAATGGTCCATGATGTGAAAACACAAGCGTACATGGTCTTACTTTCTAATTCAGGATGGTGGAGATACCGCGGCGATGCCTGCGCTTCACTTACTCTTTTAATCATGTGTGTTTATGAAAAGCAACTATATTCTGAGTTTGGCACCACTTCCTAATAAAGCACCCTTTAGAACGGGTTTATAGTTGTAACAAGTGGCTTTTTAATGGTTAATAAATACTTTCTTAATGCTTTATAGAGCAGTTATTAGATGAAGAAATTTTGGGTTGCCAGGTTGTGGAAAAATCCCTTTGGCCAGTGTTAATGCTTTGTATTTGGCAATAAAAGTGTTGTAAATGTTGTACAGCTGAAACTATTAGTTGAAGAATGGTCGATCGACAGAAAATTAATCCCCAACAATTTTGATGATAATAATAAAAGTAATAATTTTTCAAGCTAATATGCCACAAATTTGATGTTTCTTGATACTTTCTAAAATGTCTTACACGTTAGTAAATTGATTTTTGGATTCTTTAGAGAGAAAGCAGGCCAAATTAAGACATCATCATGAGCTCCAGGAAACTGTAATGGACATTGTTTTTTACTGTTATAAATCAAACAGTTAAGTTTTAGATGGAGAAAATTAATAAATCGATAATGAAAATAATGATTTGATGCAGCCCCAAAATGCAGCCCCTTTTGTTAAAGGAAAGGGATAATTATCTATTAACAAATATATTAGTCATATACCCTTTACAAAAGGTAGAGAGTGTGCTGTATGCTTTTTGAAAAATCATTGACTGGGTTATCAGATGTGACATGCGGCTGTGTTTTTCCATTTTCCCACATTAAAGTGGACATCGTTATGGGAAAACACACATCGTTATGGGAAGACTTCCATTTGACCACAGATTTCAAGTTCAGATTTGTAATGATTTTTGTGATTCAACCACTGCAATGTTTTCCAGTTCTTTTTTTTTTTATTTTTCCTCCAAGTGAGTTGACTGAGTTCATTCTTCAGCAAACAGCAGAGTGGTATTTTTTTTTGTTTTCTGCAGATCACCATATTGGAATGTGTGACCCTCTGGTGTGACAACAGGGGTCACAGTCCTGCATCCAGAGAGAATATCATCTTCAATTTCCAGCAAATTTGTATTAAAGCGGTTGAAATCGAACCCTTCTCTTCGTCTTGCAAATATATTAAAAAAGAAAAGTGCATCCACTAAAAGCACGGTAGATCTACAAATACAGAAGAGATGGAGTCAGTGTACATCTGTGATACTATGTGACAACTGGTTTGCACAAATTTGCACAAGAACGAACCCTGGCAAGTGTCTCTCCCTCTCTCCGCTCTCAAATCTCTCCCCCTCCACAATTTGCCCTCGGGCTGTCTTTGTAACTAGCTAGAAATATGCCTTTGTGTCAAAAAGCCGCAGAGACAGTAGCGCTGAGATCAGTGTCATGTCATCTTTGGCTGCCCTCCAGCTCCGCTCAGACCATCTTTTTTGTCTCAGACAGGCAGACGTCACACAGACGGTTGAGGCCTGCCACTCTAATGGTCTCTTGTTTTGGCAGGCATGTGGGCTTTTAGAAGATTTGACGCTGATATGCGCTACTATCCATGTCTTACTGAGGAATGCGCGCGTCATGTTGGTGGTATTGAGTAAATACACATGCATAGTACAAATGCATTTAATACTACGTTTGTTAATTTGCAGATGCATACAGCGGTAAACTGCCTCCTGGTGTAGTGTGGATTTGAAAAACATCTTGAAAAACTATTGTTGCAAATGGACTTGGGCAGGTACTCCACGTGGCGCCATCATTCAATCCCTCACTGCTTTCTTGCCATAGAAATGTTGTGGAACGATTGTCAGTCATATGTAACATACTGGGTCAGCTGGAACTGTTTGCTTTGGCACTTTGAATATGTTTCCTTGGCATTGTTAGCGCAGCGTATTTTAACAAAGCATGAAACAATTAAGGGGAAAATGTCAGTTATTCAGAGGGAGACAGTTCTCGTGCATTGTATACGCCTCGCTCTGTACGCCTCAAACCATACATTTTTTTTACTCCGCGAGTGTGTTGGGAGAGCAATCTCTGTCAAGACACAGCTTGCCAGGTTTCCATTTGAAAATTCATAGCTGTCAGACAAGTAAAGGAAAGGCAAACACGCATTGTAAAAAGGAAACCATTTGACCCAATCTGAAAGCAAATCCCGATGCCTCCTCTTTGATTTGACTGCTCAGATTCTCAACCGGGCTGTGAATGCACTAGCAAAGACAATATCCTATAGCATATGTGAACTATTAAGTCCATTGGAATGAAACTGAGGACTCGAGGGGAAACGTTTCAGTCAGTTATTGGACTTAATAAAACAAATCTCTTGTTGAGGAACTCCTGTGACCTTCTGCTGGAGGCTGAAGTGAAAATGAGTGGTGACAGAATCTTCTGTGGAAAGCAGTAATGAAGTAAAAATGTAAGTCATGTAGATCACCGATCAACACGTCTGGTACATTAACTAAACTGGTGTGGACATCCAGCAGGTGCTCTGCACCTTTACAAAAATATTGTAGAATAATTTCTTTTGCACCGCCTGCCTGTGTGGCATGTTTCCCATTTGCTGTGGTTACTCTTCACAGTCATCGAGCTGGACTTCTTCAAATTTACTTGGCCGTATAATCACTTTTCACACCCATGAGGGGATGGACAACGAGTCCACACTGTTGACTTAATGATGTTGTAATATTCTCTTCCACTCTTCTTTTTGTTCAAAGTTTGCAAACAAAGATGAAAAGATGATGTTGTTTAATAATACATTTTAAGTTTTTATTTGACATTACCATTACCAGATTACCATTAAATTCAGGGCATACAATTTCTGTAAGACATACTGTGATGCTGTGTGTATGAATGCCAAAAATTATATTTAATGATTCCTGCGAGACTGTGAGACTGTGAAATATCCTGTTTCTCACTCTTTCTGTCATTTGTCTCCATTAACTGTCATGTCATGTATCTGTAAGACATTCACTGCAAAGCTAGAAGCTTTAATCCTTGTCTTAACTCACTTTTTTACAAGGATGAATAAATGAACACCTCAACCTGCCCCAGATGCAAAAGGTGAAAGTGCAACATTTCATCAATGTAGCATTAAGCGAGGTGTCACTCCATGCACAAAAGTGTCTTTTAAATGTCCAGAGTCTGTCTGCAAAGACACGTTGGCCTGAGGACTTTTGTGAGTTCTGTAAATCCATTTATTCTTCAGTTTCACTTTAAGGGTGTAAAGGAGGCCAGAAATTACACATAATGAACAACTACAGTGCCAATCCTGTCAGTTGGTGTGACCAAAATGGTCACAGGCTGACAGTCATGTCCCCTGTGTATGTTTATGAAAGTAATGCTCTGCTTTCCCCATCACAACCTCAGAACGCTGGTCGTCTGTTTTGCCAGCTATGTGGCAGTCCCCGCTTTGTGTGTTTTATATATGCTTCCCTTAAATAAACTGACGAAAGGAGCGCAAGTCTACCACATGTTCTCCATACCATGTTTAGAAGTGAAACTTCTGCTTGTTATATTTCAAATGGATTGCAGCTTTAAGATCCTGAATACTGGACTTTTGTTACAGGGATTATATGATGAGAGTGTAAATCCTGCTGTGTGATCATGTTTAAATCTATGCAAGTGAGTGACATTCCCCCCTCAGGATATGATATAAATATTAAACCAAGTATCCGCTGGCTACTGTTTCACATGCATGTGGTATGACTGTCACGTTCACTGCATGCCATCGTTTGAAATATGTCCCCATACCGGCTGAATACGTTATCAGTCATAATATACAAATTATAATCTCAATCTAAAATACCAGGGGCAGTGAGCTGCTGGTTCTGTGACTCGGTTACTGTGATAGAGCTCTAAAGGACAGGGACAAAACGGTGTCAGGAACTTCATGATAAGAAAGAACTCTTCCACCTCTGCAGAGAATTTGCTCTATACACAGACACGCCTGCGCTGGAGGTTGATCTCAATCTCCAGCAAATGTTGAATTCCCCTGAACATTAACCACTGAACAGCTGAATTCATTTGAACATTAACCAAACTTTTGAGCATTATATGCCCCAGCTGTGCTTCCTGTGCTGTTTATGTAGTATATCTTTGCAACTCTTATTGTTTATCCAGGAAGGTCAGCATCCTGCGCTTTATTGGATACTTTATCAAGATGTATCCACTCCCTCCCTGTGCACTGTTTAAACTGAGCCGACTGTGTCTGCGATCGTTCCCTCCAGGTTGACAGGTAATGAGCCGTTGTCTATCCTGCCACTGAACTCTCTACCAGAGGAGAACATGGGCAGGGCCCACTACAAGCTGTGCGACCGGCTCAAACTGGAAAAGAAGCAGCGCAGGATGTGCAGACGAGACCCGGGCGTGGCGGAGACCCTGAGAGAGGCCATCACCATGAGCGCCCTAGAATGCCAGTATCAATTCCGCTTTGAGAGGTGGAACTGCACCTTAGAGGGGCGCCACCGAGCCAACATACTAAAGAGAGGTATGAAGATATCTCATCGTCTTAACTCCAAAAGTAGAGTTCTTACTTTTCTATTTTCTTTCATCTCATTTGTCATTCTCCCCCACCCTTCCGCAGGATTTAAAGAGACAGCCTTCCTGTACGCCATCTCCTCAGCGGGCCTAACCCACGCGATGGCCAAAGCTTGCAGCGCGGGACGCATGGAGCGCTGCACGTGTGACGAGGCCCCGGACCTGGAGAACCGCAAGGCGTGGCAGTGGGGAGGCTGTGGAGACAACCTCAAATACGCCAACAAGTTTGTCAAAGACTTCCTGGGCAAACGCTCTAACAAGGACCTGCGCGCACGCGTGGACATGCACAACACAAATGTGGGCATGAAGGTGAGGTTGTACAATCAGAGGCACTGCACTGATTTTACATGTCAAATGTCAATTTGCTTGTAATAGGGAATCCTATGTTAGGCCTGTGAAAACAGTTGTATGATGTCTTCTGTGGCTGTGGAGAGCTTTCCAAAGCCTGAGAAAATGATTTAAGGGACCTCCCTTCTACTTAAAGCTGCTGTAATCAATATTTTTTACATCATCGGTGGATCAAATGACCAGAAAGTGGCCAGAAACACGACTCCAAATGTTGCTCCATGTCTTCTGGATGTGTAAATAAGCAAATGTTTGGTAACACATTCATCATATCAAATTTACAATGTGAAAATATGTCAGTGTTGTGTTTACAGCTTGTCTCACAACTGCAAAATGGCCAAAAAAAAAAAAAAAAAAATCAATTGGATTTAAGATTTGAACTGCAAACCTGCCTCACCTGTGGGGTTGTGGAGTTTGAACAATGTGAGTGTTTTCCAGGCAAAAGTTGCTTTGCATTATTGGAACTGTAGGATTCTGTGTTTTCTGAGCTTGACTCACCCCTGAGGGAGAAAGTCAGAATATGTCAGCCTCATTCTGCTGCACTGATTTTGACCATTGTTGCTTTAATTCGTCTCTTGTGAGACCAACTTCACAGAAGTGCAAGGCTAAATTGTTGGAAAGCCCCTTTAATGTCTCACTCGTTATCACATTTTATCTGTGACTTTGACAGCAAGCAAGAGTATTTTATTAGCTCGTAATTTTGTCGAAAAAATTAAACTGTAACTTAATTTAAGTGCGGCAGACATTTATTCATGTACCTCAGTAATGTTAGAAATATTTTAGGGAGTTGCATTCAAAGGAAAGAAAAAAAATGTTATTCAGTAATGTAGCAGTATATTTACTCCAGCTGTCATCTTAATGTTGCCTTTTATTAAAGTAATAATTTCCACAAGTGAAAGCAACAATGCACACATGAATCAAACCAGGACACACTCATAAAGAAACCAGTTTGAACAGGGCTGGAGTTCATCTGGAGTCACAGACAGTATTTAAACAAAATCTTGGCTAATTGCTCACACGAATCAGTTCAACGGTGGGAAAACTGTGATAATACAATACTGTCTGAGTTCTGTTTAATTGTGTAGACAAACAGCAACATGAAGTGCCAATTCATTGTGAGCCTTATCCCGGATATACTCTATTCCCATATCTTTGATTTAGCTTTTGTAATGCTGGAGTTTAAACATTATAGTGCTGGCAAATGACTGCTGTCCAAGACAAAACACACTGTCCAAACATATAGTTAAAGTGACCACAGAGGAATTTAATACGACCACAGAGGAATGACATTGATAAAGTTATACATGGGGCATCCCAGGAGAGTGAAATTACTGCAGAAAAACTGTTCAGTTTTGAATCGTCTCCATTAAAGCTGGGAAAAAAGAAACCTAAACTGATTAAAGTAATTGCCACTGGAAATTTGGGGAAATCTGAAAGTGCTCATTAGTCAATATTTGGTTTTCTCGTTCAGATTAGATAGGCAACAACTCTCACTTGTGCTCTGGCACAATTCAGCAATTGTTTGTGGTGAGCAAATATGGGTTTTTCATCTTGGAAGTGAAATAAAAAAAGAGGGAATGGTCTTAATCTGTCAAGCCAAAGCAAACTTAAGGCCTGGAAGCTGTTGCTTTTACTCGGCTTTTCTCATATTGTAGCCATTTTCATTTTTGGTTTTCAAAGTGAATTATAGCAGAGGCACACTTCCCAAATGTTAGCAGACACAAAACTCTCCCAAAAGACCAATGCAGGCTCTTCCTTTTCAGCTTGGCTCTCCAAAATCCAATCTCTCAGGAGATTATATTTGTGATAAAAGATTTACAACATTGTTTTTGCTCTTTTTTTTTTGTGATTTGCACATGTAGTGAGGTGTACCGCATTCATTCAGGATGAATTCCCACACGGAGGACCAAACTGGAATGTGCTAGCCTCTGCATCCCCCCGACATTTAAAAGCTGACCTATCAAATTTTCTTGACCTGCTGCTGTGATGAATATGCACTTCCTGTTCCCCGATCTCTTTCACAGTCTGAGAAAAGAACTGTTGATGCTATCCAAACTCCATTCAAGACAATGTGTTATTGTCATTGATTTTTGCATACACACTGCTTTTGACATTGTGGTTGATGCTTAAACCTTGGCTGACCGCGGAGAGGTCAAGTAGCGTTAAAATAACGTGTAGTGGTCTTTTTAGCTGACGATCTCTATGTTTCACTTGCAATTATGTATGATTTTACATAAGAGAAGACTTTCTTTAATATTATTTTCTCTTTCCAACGGTTTGCATGACTTACTCTCTGTGTTATTACATAATTACTAGGAGACTGGGTTGATCAAGTGTGGGTTTAGAAAACATGTTAACGGTCAAAGGACAAGAATAGTGCCCAGCGCATGGCTGTCTGAATGGATTGTCTTTTTGTGGGTCCTTCCAAGGAATAAGCTCCCCTCACTTATCATAATAACAGTTATTGAGTTTAATCAAAATGTCATCCATGGTTATCATAACAGAATCAATCCTCCCACCAACCCTTATTCACTTACTATTTTATATGAAGCCTTAGACAAAGTGTTATATTGTTCTCTTTTGGTTCACAAGCAATAACCAAAGCCTCTGGTTCTCCCCTTTTATTAAGATATCAAAAAGAGCAGTGAGTATAATAATTTTCCATTATATCTATGTTCCTCCCAAACCACTGAACACCACCCTTATCATCTAATTGTGAGCATATTTGCGTAATTTGGCTCTTTGAACTGCTGCTTACTAAACAAAGGCTCATTAAATTATACAGCTTTCATTATATTCCTTTCATGTTTCATGGCAGTTAACAGTATTGCTCTGCTTCTGCACCAGGTAATCAAGGCTGGAGTGGAGACCACTTGCAAATGCCATGGCGTCTCCGGCTCCTGCACCGTCCAGACCTGCTGGAGACAGCTCCTGCCCTTCCACGAGATCGGCAAGCAGCTGAAGCAGCGCTACGAGACCTCCGTCAAAGTTGGCAGCTCCACCAACGAGGCGACAGGGGAGGGAGAGATCTCCACAGGCCGGAGCCAGCAGCAACAGCAGCAGCAGCAACAACAACAGCAGCCGCAGCAGCCGCAGCAGCCGCAGCAGCCGCAGCCCCTGCCCGGCCTGAACGATCAGATCCCTCGCACTATGGACCTGCTCCACATCGAGGACTCGCCCAGTTTCTGTAGACCCAGCAAGTACTCGTCGGGCACAGCAGCCCGCAAGTGCTACAAGGATAAGAACTGCGAAGCTATCTGCTGCGGGCGAGGCCACAACACTCAAAGTAGGGAGGTGACCAGGCCCTGCCAGTGCCAGGTGCGCTGGTGCTGCTATGTCGAATGCAAGCAGTGCACACAGAGAGAAGAGGTGTATACCTGCAAAGGGTAACCCAGTCACCAGTCAGTCGCAGTGGAGCAAGTGAAAGATGGTCGTGTTGAAAAGGAGTGGTTGTTTTGTTCTCAAACAAGGTTTTGCTTCCACTGTCGGAACAGTGTCTGAACGAAGAGGAGCGAGCCGATGGAGAAGCAATAAGCACTTTGAGGGATTTCTGTGGGTTGGGGTTCAGAGGCCCTGTGACCCCCTGTGTCGGGGGTTTGCAGAGTTTAAAAAAAAAAAAAAAAAAAAAAAAAAAAACCTTCTCAGACAACTGGGTCAACATCTCAAGCTTTTTTGTCACGGTGTTGCCTTGAAGAGAGTAGCTTTTATTTTCCTATTAACAAAAATCTATTTGCATCTTCACACAAGAAAGCAGAAAGAAAACAAAGATTAGCATCCAGTTATTGAGGATCCAATTCAAGGACAGTAACACCAACAGACTGGTTTCTGGGGTCTTGCCTCAAGAAGAATGGTGTGTGTGTGTTTGTCAATTTTTTTACGCGTGTGTTTGTATGTGAGCACGTGATAGATAACGAAGGGGGAGGGGGGGGGTTCGAATGACGACTTTTATGGCAATGAAAACTATATTCAGAGACTGCGAAAAAAAAAAGACAGGGTGTAAGATTTACTCTACACGCACATATTTACACTCACACACATTGTGTGTTTGCATATGTATGTACATAAATTCAGTTATATTGTAATGATACTATACAAGCCACTTATCTAACTATGTTAAAACAAACCACTAACCACACAAATGTATGTTGTTTGTGTGCTCTCGCTCGTTTTTCTTCTTGATTCATGTTGACAAGGCCCTTTGGAAAGCAGCACACTTGTGTCCGTCGTCTTGCTGTGGATAATTTATAGATCCTTTGGGACTACTCCTTCACAGGGAGAAAAAAAAATCTCATTTTTTCTTTTCTTTTTTTTTTGTAATATAATATGAAGCTGTTAGTAAATGCATTAACAGAACATAACTAAACCAGTCAGTTTAGGCTATTCTCGGCCTTGAGCGAACCAGTGTTCAGGGAATAACTTAAACCACTATAACTATTTGGATATAATAGAGAGAAATAGTGCAAATACAAATAATATCCAAGTTGGAGATGACAATGGCCTTGTTATTATAGCCAATAGCGTTGCAACAGGTGATTATTTGTCCAGCGAATGGTCCATGTGTGACTTAGATCAAAAATTGTGGAGCTCCGCAGAGCTTAAATCTACTTATTAGGACTTTTTTTGTTTAACTTTGAATACTTTGAAGTTGTAAAGAAAACTGTGGAGAACTGGAGGAATGTAGCCCCCTACCATTTCACATCCTTCTTTCCTCTTCAGCTGCCACGATTTGATTGAGCCATATTCAACGTGTAGACATGCAGCATTTACAGCGGGTGCAGCATCAGTCAGTCCAAACAGTATGGGGCACCCGAGACGGAAATCTAACTTGCAGAATTGCTCAAGTGAAGATGAAAGCGTAAGCCTCATAGCTAATATAAATATATTTTATAAGACTAATATTTGCATAGTGTTCAGCAAATTGAGTCTAAATGCAAACATTGGGGTTTTGCAGATTTGCTGTCTTCATTCAGAAGTCAGTGTCGGTGTTGAGTTAATTTGCTTTTTCGTGTTGTTGCTTGGCGCACAGTGACACAGTTAACACAATGCAGCATACTGAACCCTGCCATGCAACTACAGTGACAGTTGAAAGCAATAGTTTGACGTTTTGGCAAATACACTTATTTTCTTTCTTGCCGAGAGTTAGATGATTGATACCACTTAAGGCTACAGCTAGCTGTCAGTTAGCTTAGTTTAGCATAAAGAGACAGCGAGAGACAGCTAGCCTGGCTCTGTCTGAGGAAACGCCCTGTAAATCTACAACTTGTCATTATTACATTGGTTTGGTTTATTTACAGATTGGTCAAACAGGGTACAATGTGTTAATTAGGTTTGAGTCGTTACCGTCAGCTGTCTACCCTCATTTCCTCATGTCTTTATGCTCGGCTAAGCTAACCAGCTGTTAGCTGTACTTTCATATTAACAGACAGATATGTGAGCAGATTCGCTCTCCTCACCTAATTTTCCAGAGGAAAGCAAATAAGTGTATTTCCCAAAATGTCAAATTATTGCTCTAAGACATAACCATGAAGTCAAAGGTTTAATTTTATGAGAAATGCCTCTGTACACACAAATGCAGACAATAATATTTCATTGTATTCTCAGCACTTAGCTTCTGGGAACATTATGTTATATGCTATAAGATATAGGACCTTATATGCCTTGTTTTCGATGGGTGTGAATTAACTACTGAGTGAGGGACCCAGCTTTGTATTATAGCGCCATTCACGCACTGAAGCCCAAAAGCCCTTTAAAGTATTTAAAGTTCTGTATTTATAGATACAGTACAGTACAGAATATCTTTTTTTTTTTTTTTTTTTTTTTTTTTTTTTAAATTGTAAATAGCAAAGGTTTCTTCTCCTGTGGTATAAAGACAAAAGTGAGGCACATGTTCCACTCTCACAAGCAACTGAAACAGAAATTGGTATCAATATGAAACGTTGGGGCAAGGCATTGTCGGAAAACAGCACGCAGCTGCTGTAACAACACGGTTACAGATTGTACAGTGATATAGCACCATGCCAAAACATCCTTAAAAATGTCTAAACAGATGGTTTAGCGTTCAAAGTTGATTATCATACATGATATTGAAATCAAACCATTATCCCCTACAGCAGAAATCATGCTTTAGGAAGAGAGCCTTGCTTGGCTTATTTGTCCTAAGGAGATGAATTCCAAGCATTTTGATATGAGGAGGCATGCCAAATAAAGACTGGTCAAAACATATACATAGAACTTTGCACGCTACATGGAAACCATAATAGCTATGCTGAGACTCGAAGCATAAATGCCTGCTTCCCACAGCTTCTGGTGTGTGCGTTCTCCCCACACACACACACACACACACACACACACACACACACACACACACACACACACACACACACACACACACACACACACACACACACACACACACACACACAGACACACTCCTCGGCCCAAACACACTCTACTATTGAACGGATTCAAAACAGGCATGACAGGAATACTAAATGCACACTGAGTGCATTTTTGTTTGTTTATAGATTGTACATAGGCCTAAAATTTCTCCCGAGGAGCATGATGCAGCAGCCAGTTGGTTTTTAGATGTCACAGTCGTCCATATTCTCAAATCCAAAACTCTGCACTGTTTAGTCGTCAGTGGATCATGTACAAAATTCTATTTTGTAGAAAAAAAAAGTAAAAGATAAATTATTTTTAAATATATTATGAGCATGTGTTTAGTGTAAATAACGTCAAAGTCTAAATTGATTTTATATCCTGTATTTTTTACTGTTTTTTCTTTCGGGTGTTTGTTCCTTTTGGGGTGGAGGCTTCAAGAAGCAGTGTATACTTTAAACATATTTCATTTCATATCTCAATGTTTGCTGTTGACTGAGCACTAACAAATCCTAACAAATTTAGAATCAACTCACCTTTAGCTGTCTTTCATTCATTCACACAATAATGACACTTTTCCGAAAGTATTCACAATCGTCAACAATATTTTTAATAGGATTTGATCTGTTTGCATAATTGACTATTTTGTGAAAAAGACTCTGGCTTTGTAATGTTGCCCATGTGACACAGTATAAACTGATGATGTTGATGATTTATACTCAACTTTGGATCAATTTACATGTACATGTACTTTTTGTTAGGATTTGTGCTGTGCTTGTAAAAACAAAGATAAAACACACCAACACACGTATTACCCTTTTGTGATGATACTACACCAACAAAGCTTTGTCCATGTTCACTTATTCATGTCTTATGGGAACCCTAAATTATTTTCCTCTACCTCATGTGTATAGCTTGTAGGTATAAACAGATCACAAATGACTGGTAAGAATGTATTTAAGTTATTTAACATCTTTGTATAACAAAGGCGAAAGAAATCTGAAATAATAAATGAATTTTTAAATTATTTCATGTGTGGTTTCATTCTTCGCTGGCACTATCTTGATGTGATATTACTGAATGGCCTTTTATTATTGATTTTAAAAAGTATTTTAATTGGGGTCTGTTGTGTAATTGAATAATGAATAATTTTTTAAGGTAAACACAAGAAACTTGTGCTACAGAAAATGGACCAGACTCAGTAAATAGCTCCCTAAGCTTAACATCCTAAGTCCTATGATAACTATTAATTTAGCTATACACACTAATGAGCAGCGATGACTAACATGTCTTTGGGGTCATCAGGTGGGAACCTCCTTTCACCAGTGTTTTGTCTAGTTGGTCCCACGACACCTCCAGGAGGCTAGACAGTGATCACTGGCGTCCCAGAGTCACTCCCCTAATGCCAGCCATCACTGCTCCTCACACCACAACTATTTTCTCCTTTATTTTGCCTATGCTACCACAAACAACACTATCATCAAATAGGACAAAACACACTAGCAGATTCAGCAAACAAAACTCCCCTAAACAGTTCTGTTCTGTAGGACTAGATGTTTTTTTTCCAGAAAGTGGCGGCCAGTTTGAATGAGGGAGGTAGAGTCAGGGAGAGATGCCTTGTTAGACTAAACACTCCCCCGCCGGATTAGGCTGTGCTCTACCTCCCCCTACTCCCCCACTCTCCAAGACAGTACAACTCACCATACAACTCACCTAAAACAAACAAACTCACCTAAACAGTCAAAGACACACTACAAACCAATTCAAAGCAATACAAACAAACAATACAGGCCAACTCACCTGGACTAACCGCATGGTCTCAAAGAGGCTCACACCGGCCACACCCCCAACTTAAAAACACTTCCTCTTCCTGGAAAACATCATCAAAATAGCTGAAGCCGTACTGATGCATATTTTGAAGTCATGAAAATGACTTAATAAATGAGCAGTTCTAGCAACAAATCTCAGGATTCAACAAATTCCTTTAACACACTGGGGGATTAAATAGATGTTATCCAAGCAGCATTTGTCTTTTACAAAAGGAGATACAGAAGAGAGGGTCATTCATTCATTGCAGTTGGATCCCTGGGTTCTCCTATCCACATGTCAACATGTCCTTGAGCAAGAGTGAGTGAATGAGAGGCAGAATGTAGAGCACCGTATAACTGAAATAATAATAAAAGTCT